GTGCACTTCTGGCCTCTCTCTCCAAGGAGAGTGGGAGGCTGAAACCACAGCAGTACTACTGAGGTCAGAAGGAGAAAGGGGTGACTTTGAGAGACCTTCATTCTCCTCTAGCCAGCAGCAGCCTCTGCAAGTCCTGCAGCTCAAGGAGCTTCACACCAGGAAACCCTCTGTTTCCACTGTTTCCTCCACTGCTCTCTCAGTCTCCCAACCTCTGTAAGAGTTCCCGCCTCATCTCAGGAGGACAGGCCCTGTTGGGTGTGGAGAAGACCTTTCCTGTTAGCATGTTATTGCAGAAATCACAAGGAGAGAGAAAAAGGGACAAGGTGGCCGAGGACATTGCCGCAGCTAAGAAAGGATGAATTTGTCTGCTCTTAACAAACTTCACAGTCCTTATCTCCATGCCATCCTAGATCAAAATGTTGTCTCAAATGGGGAAGAAACTTGTTTTTATGCCCCTCCTCCCAACGATGTTGATGAAGAAGTCAGCTGGCCTATCTCCACTGTGGGCAATAACCACCTGCCTGCCATGAGGAAGGAAAAATCACTGCCCAAGTTCTTTGACACCACCTCATGTCCAAGCAGAAATGTCTAGCAGCTCTTTACTGCTCCCAGGCTGGGCCCTAACCAACCCTGGACTTGGGAGTCCTCATGCTCAGACCCTATAACTCTCTACAAACACATCCACCATCTGACAGCCTTCACCAAAATACCTCTCACAGGCCCCAACCTCCTCCGCCAGCTGTATCATCTTAGTGCTTTTGATAAACTGAGGTGGTATCTACACAGTCTGGCCCCCCTTCTTGAAGACTGGAACACCAGAGCCCAGAGGAGCTAAGTTCCTCATCCATATGCACACACCCTTGCATGACAGGTCTCTCTAGACAGTACAGTCAGTGCTTTTCAGTCCTGGTTCGATCTGCCCCCTTCATACTCAAGTGTCCCAGTTTAGACTATACATAATGTATGCTCACCCTATTTTGTAGAATGCCTATTGTACCAAGTTAAGTGTTGAGTGAGATGGAGTCAGGGACGACACCAGGAGTGACACTGAGCCAGTCCCACAAGTCAAAGGAACCTTGGGGATTTGGTCCGAAGTCCATGTGAGCTGGGCCTCAAACCACAGGCAGAAGTCTAACAGGTTAAGCAGGGAGAAAAGTCGTGCCAAGAGTAGCACAAGTATAAGCAAATCAATGGACAGATGTCTGGTGAAAAGTATCCCATGCCAAACCCTGAAAACACCAAGACAGGTGACCTCACCAGAAGTCAGGTCACCACAGGTCACCACAGGACCTGACCAGAGGAGCCTAGGACAATTTCAGAAGAGTAAGGCATGGGGACAAGAGGACTGGTAAAATGGAGTGCAAGGGGAGGATTCTTACCACCACCTCTCCAGTCTGAGGACAGGGTCTGGTCCAGAGCTTCAGAGAGTAGGTCTCTGCTCTCTGTTCAGAACAGTTCTCTGTTCTCTTTCTTAACTTCCCAGACCTCTCCTTGGCTACAGCCCTCTTCAATTTATCTATTTGTCTGGGACACCTGGGTGGCTCAGTCAGTTAAGTGTTAGACTCTTGGTTTCAGCTCAGGTCATGATCTCAGGGTCACAAGATTAGAGCCCCAAGTCAGGCTCCAAGCTCAATGGGGAGTGTGCCTGAGATTCTCTCTCTCCCTCTTCCTCTGCCCCTCCCTCGGCTCTCTTTAAATAAATAAATCTTAAAAAATAAAATAAACACCTATTTGTGTACTACCGTGTATGACCTCTTACCTATATCCACCTGTGTTCCTTAACTGGATGTCTAACCCATGATTATTATACCTTCTGGTATTCCTAACAAGCCCTACCACAGTGTTTGCAACTCTAAAAGATACTGCTAAATATTTAACAAACTACACACTCTTGCCAGTCAGCAAAATGGTCCCCTGGTTCCCTTAATTCAGGGTATGGTGCTGTATGGCAGCCCAGGGCTCATGGATGGTGGACAAAGGGGAAGCCCAAGGCTTATGAGCTGTGGTAGAGGGAAGCCAAAGGGACTTCCCAAGAGGGGAATATGCAAAAAGGTGAAGGAAGGGTAGAGGGATAGAGCACTAAACAAGACAAAGAAGGAGGTGAGTTCTGAGAACAGGACATCAAGAAGCACAGAACATATGGCCTCAAATGACCTGGTGCCCCCCAACCTGAAGCAGTTTTCACACACAACAGACCATCCCAAGCACATGAGGGATGCAAGAAGACCACGTGGGGACAGACAGGGTTGCACTCTAATGCATACACCCCATCTCCTACCCCCTCCAGGTTCCCAGGACCACCTGCCAAGTGTTAAGGAGGCAAACCTCATAGGCCTGCAGGAAAAGGAGGACCAGGACCCAACTGACTCAGATTGCTCTCCGTTCATTTATTCACTTTCTGGTGGCTGCTGCCCTCTGCTGACAGAGTGGGACCAAGACAACCGGCAAAAAGCACGTCTTCACTGCACACGAGGAAAAGGTAAGGGTGACTACCAAAACTACAACGGGACAAAGAAGTAAACCTTTATTTAAAAAAGAAAGAAGGGGAAGGGGGGAAGAGGAGAAAGGGGAGGAAGGGAGGGAAGAGGGAAAGGAAAAGGAAAGGGAGAGAGAGAGAAAAGCTTCCTTCTCTAGCACTAGACCAAAGGAGGCCTCCTAATGTGACACTTATTTCATCTGGAAGCTGCTAATATGGGATCATTGTGGCTGACACCCACCGACCTGGCAGAGGGTTAGGCATACCCAGATTTTCTCATTTTACAGTAAGTTGGAGCTTAGAGAAATTTGAGAACGACCCGTAGGGACATGGAGATATAATCACATAGCTGTGGATACAATGCTGACCTCCTAGCAACAGTCTAACAAAGTAACCTGGCAAGATCTGGACTGGGGGAAGAGGGAAATGGAAAAGTATGTTTACTGAACATTTAGTGCCAGGCATGTATTATGTGCTGGTGAGACTGAGGCCCAACTGCTCACTTGGGGAGGACATAATTTAGGAGAAATTATTATTACCAGCCATGTTTTGACATGGTACAGGAATGGGGGAAATGAGACAGCCTCTCAGTTTGACCATCTCTTGCTCATTTTGAAACAAAATTCCTCAAGCTTCCTGATACTTCTCACTTCCCCTCCCCAATAACACTTCTTGAGAGGTGATTCTGCCCATTCCACTTTCTCACCTCTGGTCCCTGTGGACTCAAGTCCAAATGCCTCCTTTACCTTCTACAAGGCTGGGGGAAAATTGGGCATCCCCACCTGTACTAGCATCTATGAAAAGACAATCATGGTGCTACCTACCTCGTAAGGTTGTTGTGGGAACAGGTAAATTCATATCCTGGCACGAGTCACAGTGGGTAAGTACAAGACACTTGGGATAGGGTAGGGGGATGGGGGAGGCATATTTGCTGTGGCTATTTTCTTCCACATGGAAGCAGCACCATTGGCTCTTAACTCTCCTACTAGCTCTCCATTCTTATCTAGTAGGTGATTTGGTGAAGAGAAACTGAGTGGGCACAGCCAGCCCCTCTTTTCTGGGTCTCTTCCACACCAAGTGACTTGCAGGACTGGGTAGGAAGTATGATCCTGGAGTGTCATCTCAGAAAGCCTACTTGCCCAAGGACACAGGCCATGTATTCTCATCACAACTTTTCCAGTAATAAAGGGAATATTTTGGCACCCATCTGCCTCACCACAGTTTATTTCTCAATTAGAAAGAGAGGTCAGTTGAAGGGCATTCCGATAAGCAAAATGGTAGATTAAATCCAGTGATGTTGTAATGGAAAGACAGGATCAGATACCATTTACATTGTTTATTGTGATGACGTGCTTTTGTGCTGTTATGGACTGAATTGCGTCTCCCTCAGAATTCATATGCTGAAGCTGTAACCTAGTCAGAATGTGACTGTATTTGGAGATAGGGTCCTTGCAGAAGTTATTAAAGTAAAATGAGGTCATTAGGGTGAACCCTGATCCTATATGACTGGTATCGTTATAAGAGAGAAATCTGAACAGACTCGTACACAGGGAAGATGAAGACACTGGGAGAAGACAGATCTGCAAGTTAAGGAGAGAGACCTGGAACAGATCCTTCCCTTACAACCCTCAGAAGGAATTAATCCTACTCATGGCTTGACCTCAGGCTTTTATCCTCTGGAACTATGAGAAAGATAATTTGTTAAAAAAAAAAAAAAAATGTCCAGGTTGGGAAAGGTAGTCTCACACCTGGACAGTACCTGTCGAAGGGTAAACAGTGCATGTTCAAAATGCAGTGGCTCCTGATGGCCCATCCGCCATCTGAGATCACCAGGGTCACTGCTCTGCCCTTCCATCCCAACTTCTGCCCTTCACTCTTCCCCTCAAGGGTCTTCAAGACAACCATTTCCCATCAAGTTTCCAGTGGGTCTCCTGCCCTCCTCCCTGGCAGTGCCTTCTCCACCCTTTGGATGATGTCCTCCTCACCTGGCTCGAAATGTAGGCGCACCTCTGGGGCTGGGGCTGAGGGTGCTTGATCCAAACCTTTCACTCTACACATCCATGGCTCCCGAAGTTCTCATCCCACCCCAACCTGATTCCACTAGATATTTCACAGGCTGTGGGTCCAAACACACTCAAATCCTTTGCACCCCACAACAGGTCAAGTCGTGATTTGAGTGTCACCTCTCATCTACATTAAATTTTAGATAGACAACATAAAAACTTAGTATTATGTCCTAAACACTGCAGGAGGCAAAAACTATCTGAAATTTAAGTCTCCTACAACCCTACTTTTGTCCCTCCCCTTCCTTCATGCTCAACTGCAGACACATCCAGGACTGGCACCTTTGTCTTTTCTGGACCACTAGAACAATGTCCTCTCCACCCTGCCGACCCTTCACCACCTGAAAGGTGGGAGGAGGAGGCATCTCCCCTGTCCTGACTCCCCCATCAAGAGCCCCCCCCCCACACTCTGCCCTCTTCCTCCCTCCCCTGACAGGGACAGCAAACATTACTGATACATAAACTATTTTATTTAAATAAAATCAGGGGCATACCCTTTTCTCTCTCTCACACACACACACACTCACACACACACACACTCCCCCAGCATATGCACACACGCATGCCCACGTCCTCCCTCCCTTTCATCCCTTCACCCATGGCCACCTCAAACCAGTGGTTCTCATAGTGACCACCTTAGCACAGGGAAACACCCTCCATATGAAAGCCCACTCCTCCCAGGTGACGACAGCAGCACAAAGGCCTAGGACTCCTGCCCAGAGTCCAGCTCTCAGACCTCTTAGGGTAGCAAAGGAGGAAGGACCAGTTCTCCCAAGGCACCCAGATCTAGCGTGGCTTCCCCACCTTCCCCACCATAGGGCCTGGAGCACCACCAAACACCCAGAGCTGCTCCCCATGGAGGGTGGGCTCCCTCACCCCAGAGCAACCCATACCTACAACAGAGAAGGCTGTGCAGCCAAACTTGAGCACTTCCCTAAGGGATCCTGGAGTAGGTATTGTTTGGTTTGGGAGAGCGAGAGGGAGAGCGACTGAGCACCAATTACCCCACAGGAGGGTGCTGAGATTCAGCTCAACATCCTCTACCCAGAAAAAGTAAACCCAATTCTGCAGCAGGAATGGCAAGGGCTTCAACCATCAGGACCTCATTACATGTTCACCTGCCAACATGGACCCTTGTTAGAGACCCACTAGCACCTTAGCAATGTTAACGGCCCAGCCCAGCTGGGGAAAACACCATGCACATGGGAGCCTATCTGGAGCGGGTGGTGTCCTCTGTGTTGACAGTGGGGTTGGGTTTCACCTTCTCTTGACGCTGGTACCCTTCGAGTCTTGCTTTGTGGCACACATAGCAAAGTGGCTTAGGTCATGAGGAGGGAGCACTGTAGGGATCAGTAGTGTCTTCCAGACGTACACAGTCCTACAGCACATTTCAGGTTCCATATGGACAGGCCGGGACAGAGGCCTAGGGCACAAGTCTGCCAGAAGAGCTCTGTAGCATCCCTAGATCTTGGGAGATGGGGAGGTGGAAGGAACACCTATTTCCTCGAGCTAGGGGCCAAGATGCCAGGACTTGGGTCCCACACCCACCTTCTCCGATGGGCTTCCCTGTGCCTTCTAGACCAAGTTCCCTGAGGGGAAAACCAGACAGATGGAAGGAAAGCAGAAAGAGGGCAGCAAAGGGCATCAGACCATGAGGAGCTAGCAGGAGAGGGCAAACGTGAGAGCCAGAGAAAAGCCTTCTGAAAGGGTAAGGCAAAGAGAGCTGCCACCTGCGAGGAGGGACCTGGGAGGGCAGGGACGGGGAGAAATCCACCAGAGGCAAGGACCAACCTGACCTCTCCAAGGGAAGCAAGGACCTGAGGAGAGGGAGCACGGAGCCTGTCCAGCCCTACGAGGGCCAGTGGTGGTGAAAGGACAAGCCACCCTGAGCATGGACTACAGGCTGATGCTGCGCTGGTGGCGGCCCCCACGGCTCCCGCTCCGGGAACCCAGCTCCTGGCCGTCCAGACTGGTGTGGTCTGAGAGGCCCCGCAGGTGCTCCACAGAGTCACATTTCTGCAGGTCCGAAGCCACCGTGCGCAGGCTCAGCAGGCTAAGCGTGTCTGTGTCGGGGGCAGCCCCAGGACCCAGGCTACTGCCCTCCTCCAGGCCCCCGCCTTCAGCCCCCTCGATGATCCCACTGTCCCCATCCTCCCCACCATCAGGCCCAGCCTCTGCCCCCACAGGGGAGGAGCGCCGCTGGCCTGGGGCATGCAGGGGCTGGCCCCGGCGCCGTGCGTGAATCTGCTCGCTGATCTGCTCCAGGTTGCGCAGGGCAACTGAATAGCGAGTCTTGGCCTGGGCCACCTGCTGCTCCAGCTCTGTCACCTTGGCCTTGTGCTCCTGAGGAAGGAGGAACAGAGTGAGGTGATCAAGCACTCTGAGCCCCCTGAGCACTCTGCACAGTGCCCAGACCACCCAACACAAAACCGCAGGGCTCTACCCCACTCAGCCCAGTCCCCCTCGGTCCTCCTCTTTGGATTCCTCTTCCCCAGCCTTCCTGCCCGGCTCCTTACCTAAGCCTGACCATCTTAAGACCTTCCCACCAGGTCCTCATTCCCACCTACTCCTCCTCTCCCCACTGTTCCCTTTCCCTTTCTGGCCAGTTCCTGATCCCCATTCTCCCTGGTTTCCCAATTCCCACTTTCTCTCACTTACCTCCTTTCGACTCCATTCTCTGCCAGTACCCATCCTCCAAGCCCAACTCCCACTCCTGTGGGTCATTCTAAACACCTGTCCTACCACCTGTCCCACCACACTGGTCTGGCAGATGGCCCGGAGAGGCACAAATATCCCCTCTAACTGCCCTCACTCTCCATGCCTGTCCCGTTCCTGCCTGTTCACAGACCCTCCCCCTCTCCCACTCCTCCCCTACCTCTAGAATCTGGCTGAACTGGGCCTTGAGCTCGAAGTAGGGGCGGCTCTTGCCAATGGCACGCCGGAGCGTCTTCTGCAGGGCCTGGACCCGAGCTTCAGCCTGCTGGCACAGCCGGGTCACCCGCTGATGCTCCCGCTCACCACGAAGCCGCTCCTCCTCTGCTTCATTCACCTAGCCCAGACGGGGCAAAGGACATTCATCACTGACCGAGGACGCATGCTTTTGCCTCTTGAGACATGATCATCCTTCAGGAGCTGGCATTTGCTGCTAGAGACTAAATGTTTGTATCTCCCCAAAATTCCTATGTTGAAATCCTAACCCTTAAGTGATGGCATTGGATGTGGGCCCTTTGAGAGGTTGGGGGGGGGCAGTTTAAATGTGATTAGTGCCCTCATAAAAGAGGTCCTGGAGAGCTCCCACTCATCCCTTCCATCTCAGTGAAAGCTTTTTCACCACACTGAAAGGACCTCCAGCTGTCTAGGAATCAGGAAGCAGGCCCTCACCAGATACAAAATTGGCCTGCACCTGAGCTTGGACTTCCTAGCCCACAGAACTGGAAGAAATAAACTGTCGCTTAAGCCACCCAGTCTATGTGATTCTGCTGTAACAACTCCAATGGACTAACATCTTCACAAGGTGAAGGTGGCTGACAGCTGATACCAGGGATCCTCCCATACCCCCCTCTCCTTTGAGTAGCTGAGAAATGATACACAAACTACGCTTCAAAAGGTACACTAGCAAAGCCCAGCAGGACGGAGAGCAAGGAAGAGGTTTGGCCTGAAACAGAATCAAGGCTGAGGAAAGGCCTGAGTGGAGAAGACAGAGAGGAGGCAGGAGGGCAATGGGATGAAAGGACAGCAAAGGAAGCAGCTGAACCTGGGAAGACCTGCTGACACAGCCTGGCTCACCTTGCAGGTGGCATGGTTGAGCATCTCCTGCCAGGTGGGGTCTAGCCGGTTCTTGTCAGCCATGACACCCTGCTCAGCCACAAACACCATCTCCCGGGCAGCATTGTGCATGCTCACGGCCCGCTCGTACCGCAGCGCTGCCTTCTGGGTCTCTTGCTGGGCCTGGAAAGAGAGGGCCATCAGGATGCGGAGCCCCAAGGACGCCCGCCCGCCCATGGAGACCCCGCTTAGATGAGGACAAGAGAAGGAGGAAGGCCAGTTGCAATGTCGGCTTCACTTCCCAAACTGCACTGAGCGTGAGGGCCAAAAAAGTAACATTTTACCTATAAAGAGTATTTTGTAAGGCTATGACTTAAATAAAGAAATGTACAAACAAAGATTGGAAGATGATACTGCCACTAGAGGGTGAGTGTGTGAAATCGGCATTTGCAAAGGCCACCGGCCTTTTCTGCCCTGCAGAGAACAAAGAAAAATCCCCACCACTTTAGATGCAAGGTGGTTAGTGACACAGAGCAAGTCTTACAGAAAACACACCCCTGATTTCATCAACTCCAGCCCAGCAGGTAAGCTGAAGGAAGGAAGACAAACACTCAGAGACAGTCATCACAGCCATGCTTACCACAAAACCATGGAAACCAACCTAAGTTTTCAGTTACAAGGAACTGATTAAATGAAAAATAATAATAAAAGGAGGAAATATTAGGCAGTTCTTAAAAATTACAGCATGGATATATATTTTTTGACATGGAACCATGTCATAATATAAGTAAAATAAAGGAATAAAAATAGCACATACCATGTCATCTCATTTTGGCAAAATATATACCCCCCTCCCAAAAAATTAAGGGGTTATCTGTGCTGTATTAAGTATGTTTTTTATTTTCTATATTTTTTGATGCTTTGAAATCTTGGGGGCCTTGTGGCCCTTCCAGGGCTAGCTAACTCCTAAAAATAATAAACTCCCCTATGAGCACACCTCTCAAATGCAAACCAACCAATCCAAATCCCACCACTCCCTTTATCTAACTCTCACACACCAGCCAGTATTTCCCCTGCCCTATGTTACCCCAGGGCCGGGCACCAAAACACAGAGACCACCCCCATAGCCCAGAGCCCACAATTATTCAAGCTATCGAATTCTAAATTTGCTAAAGGTTGCCTACCCTGCCTTACCCGTTCCTTCCCATTATAAGCACAATAAAGGCTCTAAGCCAAGGTTTCCTCTAGTACCTGGTGTGGCATGTCCCTTCTTCTTGGAAATGTTAAGTAATAAACTCTCCTTTCAAGGCAGCTGTCTCTGTGTCTGCCACCCTACCATACTTGACTAAAACAAATCCTAGGTACAAAAAACATGAAACATGCACATGGTAGGATTTGGGGTGATTTTGGTTTTCTTCTTGTTTTACAGTTATGGTTACATTACAATCTTCCAATAATGAACCCACAGTATTTGTGTAGAAAGAAAGAAAAGAAAGAAAATAAGGGGAGGGATGGGGAAGGGGAAGGGAGAGATAGGAAAGGAAAGGAGAAAGAAAGAAAAAGAAGGGGAGGAAAAGGGTAAAGGAATGGCGGGGTGAGCAAAGAAAAGAGAAATGAACCAAAGGGAAGAGACATAAAAAAGAAATGAGAAAGTGTTCCATCTCACACCCCACACAGAGACAGAAGAGTCCAGGGCCAGGCTCTGCACATGGCCATTCTGGAAGGCACATCTGCTGGCCATACCTCCTTAGCAAGCCGCCGAGCCTCATAGTAAGGCCGGGCCTTCTCGATGCAGCTCCCCAAGTGGGAGCCCTGCGTGTTGAGCTTCCTTGCTGACTCCTGCAGGATCCTCCGATAGGTGGTCCTGGCCTCCTGGCAAAGGGATAGGGACACAGGGCAGAGGGAAGGCATATGTGTGGGTCCCAGCTCCTCCAGCTTTTCATACATGCCCCTTCCCTGCCACCATATTGAACAGCGAGAGGAGACACCTCCAGGAACAGCCCAAGGGTATGAGGAAAAGGAGCAACACTCACATCCAACTGTAGCTCCACCTGGTTGATCTCCTCGCTGGCCTGGTTCAGATGCTCTAGCTCTTCCTGCCGGAGAGAGGCAAAAAATTAGAGCAGTAGAAAGTATCCTCATGTGAACCACGTGGGCTGGAAGGGCAGTGCAAGGAGGGAAAGTCCACCTGACCAGAGAAGGGAAGAGATGCAGGAGGCTCTGTGGAATGGCTCCCTTGAAAGAGACCTAATAACATAGTCTCCTGCAATCCTCCCCAACTCTATCTCTGCATCCGATCATTAAACCCCCATTTTAACAATGAGGAAATCAACATTCAGCAAATGGAACACACATGCACCTGCAGCAAAATGGCAGCAAGCCTGCCCTCTCTTCATCAGATCGTGCCACCTTCTCTTCACACTCTGGCCAAAGGTTTCTGCGGAGCTAAGTCAGAGAACGCTACCCCTAGCTACTCACCCATCACAGGTTTTTTACATATGCATCACAGCTCAGCATTGCTGAGACCCCAGCACTCAGAAAACAAAGAGGTGGCCACTCTCAGCCCAGTAAGCAAGCAACACGCCCTCAGCAGTGTAAGCAGCTGTAAGAGGTGGGCATGATGGGGGCAGCAGGGTCATCTGCCTTGGCAGGAAAGGCCAGGGCAGGATGCTCAAAGTACTTGCTCCTAGGCTGGGCCTTGATGGGATACAGAGAAAAGAAAACCACCAGTGACAGAAAGGAGCCAAGAATCAGAAGGAGAGCAGGTGCCTGGGGCAGGGAGCTTGTCAAGTAAGAAGCCAGCAAGGCTGGGGCACAGGGAAAGGATACCACAACTTTTCCCAGTGGCAGGGGAAGCCCCTCAGAGTGTGGCACCACCTGGTCTGTGGTTCAGGAAGGCAGATCTGAGCAATACGAGGGACGTTTACAAGAGCCAGGGAGAGGGTGTCTGCAGTATTCCAGGTGGGTAAGGACAGGGAGGATACCAGACAAATGCAGGACACAGAATTATGAGTCTGACAGGTAAGTAAGGTCAAAATTAGGGTGTATCACATGACTCAAGAGGCTTCTAGGCCTGCCTGGGCAGTGGGCTGTCAGAGACCCCAGGTCCTCACATAACAGAGTCTGTGGCAGGGAGGGATAACCTCAGGGAGAAATCATGAGCCCACAATGCCAAGGACACTCCTGAGAAAGAGCAATGCCCAGTGAAATTCCTGACACTCAGCTACGGGATCCTCTCCTAGAGGCCTTGCAGCCCCTGGACAGGGTGGTGGAACCCAGCCTGAGTTTGCTTGCTGCCCACGACCCAGACATGACCTGCACTTAGCAGTGAGTGATGCTGCCATCACTGGCCCCCACACACCTCATCTGACCCTTCCAACAACCCAGTATATGATCCCCTTTTAGTCTTTTTATTTCTATGCCTTTCCTCAACCCCTAAAAGGTTTGAGTCAGCAATTAAGAATCCAGGAAACCAAATTATATGCCCAAATTACAGTGAAAGGAAGAAACATATAACAGAACCAGGAACAAGGATAGGGAAATATGCACGCCGACAACAATGCACGCCCTGCCTCAAAGAAGGCCATAAATTTGGCTCCTAACTTTACAGAACAGAACAATCCAACAAATATATGTGAGCCTCACATTGAATTTTTAGTTTTCTGGCAACCATTTTTTAAAAAATGCAAAAGCAAACAGGTTAAGTTGTTAACAATACATTCCATTTATCCCAAATACCCAAAATGTTAAAATTTTAACATGTTATCAACATAAATTATAAAACATTTTTACATTCCTTTCAATCTATGCCTTTGAAATCCTTGCACATTTGAGCCTTAGGGCACATCTCAACCTGACCAGCAGCATGTGGCTCCCACCCTGGACACTGTGGGTCCAGAAGCTGGTGCACGTTAGTCACACAACCCAGTGACCATAAGATCATATCAAAATGCTGTGGAACTACAAGAAGTGATATGACTCAAAGGACCCCTGAAGAGGACCAGGGGCAGAGCCAGCACCACCCGACACACAGCTCTGAGTTTCACAGAACTTTCCTACCCAGGACATCACCTTCAGTCGATGGAAAGATTCCTCAAAAACCACACTTCTTGTCAGGATGAGAGGCAACCTCTCCCACCATGAGCCTACTCTCCTCTAGCTTGATTAGGCCCACAGAGGGTTTCAGGTTATCCGGGAGAGGAGGTAACAGTGCTTTCAGCAGCTCCTGCAAGAATACTCTTTCTCAGCTCATTCATATTTGCTAGATCGGAAACAATAAAGCAGGGAATTAGGGGCAGAATTGAAACTGGACCTAGGACCTGATGAAGAATCTGGCTTTCCTGCTACTGTGACCACCATCCTAGAACTAAGGACATCCTTGGATGGATGCCTCAAAGAAGACAGGAGTACAATCACCTAGAAAAACCACAGTCTTGGTAGGAAAAGGACATGCAGGCCTCAGGAGGCAATAAACTGAGCCTAGAGGAGAAGAGGAGGTCAGTAAAGGCCATCCTGCAACATTCCCATGGGCAAACCAAGGTCCGATACTGGATCCCATTCAGTTCCATGGCCCAGCGTGCTCCCAGATCCTAACAAGATCATCACAGGAGTGAACGGCTCTCCACAAATCATCCCACTGGGAAAAGGATGTGAAGGGCTCCAGCTACCGGCAAAGGGCAGGAGTGGGCACATCTTCCTGTAAGGGAACTTGTGCCCACACAGCACTTCTAGCGACTAAAATATTTTGATGATGAGGTCCACCACTCAGCAGCAAAGCTCTTTCTAAAAGGACCAGGAGACCGGGGAACAGAATAGGCTAGAGGGCAGGGTGGACAACCAGGCTGGGGCAGACCCAGGGCAAAGCTGAGTGGGAAGCCAACGAGCACTCAGGGCCCTGTTTGGGGAAGCTGGCAACACATTCCATTTGGCCTGCTCCACCAGGGACTCCTGGCACCCGGAAGAAACGGAATTTGAAAACGATGACGTCTGAGTCAGCACACATCATCCATCAGGGAGGCCGCAACCAGCAGGGAGGGTGACCTTCCTGGGGCACACCGGGCACATTCCAAAGATGTCAGGCCACTGAGTCAAAGGCACGGGTGCTCAGCTGACAGATGCTCCCGCCCACCTTGCACAGGCCACTGAAACACTTAAGCCCATGGTGATGTAGGGCCAGGGTGATGCATGGCCCAAGGATTGAGAAATAGGGGAAATTGGACTGTCCTGTGAAAGCTAAACTGATACTTGGGAGGAGGATGAAGAGGTTACAAAGTCACTCTGAAGAGCCTACAGAGGAGGTAAGTGACTGTGCCCACTCACCTGAGGAAGATGAACATGCCCATCACAAACGGAACTGAGAAAGTCGCAGGGGAAGAGATGCAGACCCATCCTAGCACCACCCTCCACTGGGACCCTTGCGGAAAGCTGAGTACCAGACTGAAGGCCTTAGAGAACTATGCTGAGGTCAAGACATGGAGACAAAGCCAGTGGCCTTCCCTGGGGAACATCACACTCCAGGCAGGCCTAGAGCTGGCCTCCAGCTGGCTTCCCTCCAACTTCCAAAGGCATCCCACCAGACAACAGCGACACAAACTGCCTGCCAAGAAACCCTACTCCCCACAGGAGTAAGAGCCTTGCCTTAAGAGTGACCATTTCTGGGAGTTTCAGAAAATAACTCAACAGAGTCCCTAGCCTTTGGGATATCCCCTGGCTCAGCAGAGACGTGTAGGCTGCATGTCAGATCCACTTCTCACCCCACCAACACCAGAATTCACATTTCTGGGCATGGCTCAGGAACAGGTCTTTTTAAAACCTGCTGGTGGATTATGACAGGTCTGTTAGTGGAGACCCACAAAATACACTGAGAATCCATTTAAAGTACTGAGACAGTTACTCCCGAATAACGTGGTCTTGTGTACTGTCAACACCAAGAGGGAGCTCACATGACACATGTCCCAATGTCTTCCAAACACAGAAGAGCTGAATGCTACCAGCTTTCTCTGTGAGAGGTGCCCCTCACATCGGGCTACCTCTCCCACATGGCAAGAAGATGCAAAGGCCCTGCTAAGGGCAGAGCACTGGCCCAGCCACAAGTGTGCCACCCAAGGTGGAGGTCCCTACGACAAGACCTACCCTCCATACATGACCCACACCATTCCACAGTGTGCCTCCCTGTTTAGCGAGAGACTACAGTCTGCCTGTCCCTCTCGCTCCGGTAACACTGTGAGCTCCCTGGATTCAAGGCAAATCTTATGCCTTCGTGGTACTCTCCGGCCTTCATCCAGGAGGACTCTGATGGTGGAAATTGTTCTACCTCTGCAATACCAAGGGCAGCTGGAGAACTGCAATTCTATTTTTTATTTAATTTTAATTGATCTTACTGAAGTAGCCATATGCGGCTAACAGCTACTTTATTGAACAGCACAACATGAGAGTGCCTCTTCGTGCTGCGGCCTTTGCCTGTGTGGGCACTGGAAAAACACACAGGAGCAGGAGAGCATGAGCAAAGAAACCACCCACAGCAGATTCTCCCCTAGAGCAGAGCAAGGAGCACTGGAAGGAGATGCATGAGGCGCATCACCCAGCCGTCCTCCCCACAGAACAGAGAGGGGTCTCTTTCCCAAAGTTCTACCTTAGAACTTTCACCAAGAGATAAGCAGAAGAGTTGTGAGAGCCAAGAATCAGGACCATGGCAGAGGAGAGCGACAAGCTGAGCCAATCAGCTCCACCAACTCCTCACTTTATAGATGAAGGAGGTGAAGCTCGGAGATTACATAACTCACATGAGAATCACAAAGCAGGGGGCTGGAGGTTGCTCCAATCTCAGCCCAACGCGTTTTTCCCTACAACTTACTTCCTCAGTAGATGACGAATCTGTGGAATTAGCAGGAGAAACTGAGCTGTTTTCAATGCGACACCCATGAGACACGGCAGAAATAAATTACTGGCTCACGCCAGTAAACAAACAGCTCACCACAGCTCCAGTGTAAGCGTGGACACAGCTTCCTGCCCCCACGTCCAGGGAACCCCCAGCAAGAGGGCAGGAGAATACTAGGATCAGATTTTATCTCTTCTTGACTCACAGAAACAACCTAATAAAGGCCTGTTGGCAGAGAAGCCCAGGAATGCAAGCCCAGAGATGCTCTTGCTCATCTACAGGTGTGAGTCACCTCTACATCCACATCTTGGAGATGCTGCCAGACCTTACAGCAGACTCAGCCCCCAACACACGGGAACCTCCCGCCTTCACCCGCCCAAGCAGCTTTCCCCGTCATTGCCCGGAAACACTACAGTCCCACCTCCGCTGACCAAGCATCTCACCCGCACCGGTGCCTGTCCTCCTCCCCCACAGCTCCGAGGTCCCCTTCAAAGATCTGCCCATCCTAACAACTAATAGCCTGTCGATACTCCAAGGTAATAAATCAGCTTCTTTGTTCATGGGTTGTAACCAGCATCCTCAGAACTGGGAATCTGTGTTATTAAGGACTGACCATGGCTCACAACCACTCCCTAAACACATCGGGACTTCTCTGGAGGCCTCCCTCTGTGGAGCCACTGCAGGACGTGTCCTGTCCCACCGTTTACAGATGCGACCGTCCCTGGGGAGGCGCTGATCAGGAAAGGAGAGAAGATTCGAAACTGCCTCCCGATCCCAAAACCACCGCGTCGCACAGCGCGTCTCTGAGCTGAGAGCCCCTTCGCTTGTCTGGAAAGGAGAACAAGAGTCCTCCTCTCCGCTGACCCAGAGGAGGCCCTGCATCTGAGGCCGGTCTGCGGCTTCGCGCGTCGGGAGGCCTTCAGCTGCGGGCCCTCTCTGCCCTGGAATCACACACAGCGCTCTCAGCACCGGCCACGCCGTCCTGCGACGACCTGCTGACAAGCCTGCCTCCCTTTCCTGCCCCAGGACACGGGACAGAGGGTCAGTCTGACCCTTCGCTCATCGGACAGCTCTCCCGGAGAGCTGGAATCTGGGCGCCCTACGTCTTCTCACCTGTATCCGAGGATCCAGCTCTTCCTCTTCCCTGGGAGACAGTTTGGCCTCGCTGCCCTGGCTGCCGCCTCTCCCGGGCTCCTCAGCGACCGGGCTCCGCGGGGCTTCATCCTCTACCACCTCGGCCCGAAGCTCCCCCTGCGGGGTCTCCCGCCCCCTGGGCGCCGGCCTGAATTCCGCCATGCTAACCGGGAGAGGGCACAGCCCTACGCACAAGAGAGGACTGACATGCTGGGACCAGGGCCCCAGCTTGGGACCTCCCGGGCTCTGGGCTGCAAGAAGAAGGGATTCTCCTCTCGGCGGGTGGAAGAGAGGACAGAGGGACAACCCCACACCGGGTTAGAGGCCGAGATTCAAGGCGTCGGAGGCGCTCCTGCAGCGATAGCCTTGTCTGTGGAAAAGTTCTTCCCTGCCCGCCACGAGCAGTCCACCGGGGGAGACCCGGAGCAGCCGCTCCGAGGCAGGGGGCAAAGGGGGTCTGGATCCCAGGCCGAGGCCTGCGAGGAGTAGCACCATTCGGGAGGGCGGAGGCAGGCGCCTCCAGGCTGTGGCGGCAGCTGGAGAGACAAGGCTGGGCCCGAACCGAGGCTGCGGGGTGCCGGTCTCCGGGGAGCTGCGGGGGAAACAAAGGCCAAGTGCACGGGCAGCGTCAGAACACCCTCGGACCCCCGGGAAGCGCACGCTCGTCCTCGCAGATTCCCACATCCTGAGTAGACCCCGGCGCGACTACTTTCCCCGGCCCACAAGGGCTTGAGGTCCGACACCTCCGCCGTCCCAGCCACTCCCCGGCTTCCCTCCGAGCTCCCGTCCTCTCTCACACCCCCCGTTCCTTCAGCCCGCCCCTACTCCACCCCACCCCCGACCCGGGCTCTGCAATTCCCCTAGTAACCCGCCCCAGCCCCGCCCCACCTCCTCTCTTCAAACCTGAGGACAGCCTGAGCCTCCCGCTCCCAACCCCACTCGCTCCCTCAAATCCCAAAGACCCTGCCCCCAGTCCTCCTACACAGCCCGGGGCAAAGCCTCCACCAACCCCCCACGCGCGCCGAACCTTACCTCAGTTTACCTTCCCGTACGCTGAGCTCCTCTACTGCAAACAATCTTCCCCCTCCCTCCCCGCAACAAGCCCGTCCAACCAAATGCGCCTGGGCCGAGAGGAAGCGGAAATACATCATCGGCTAACCCCCGCCCCCCCTTTCGCCCCTCCCTACACGCGCTCTGGTTCGTGCGGCCATGTCCGGATACCCCAGTACGTCGTCCCCGCCGGGCCTTTGGTCTCCGTACGAAATGGCGTCCTGCGGCGCTCATGGTCGCCGCCGTACATTGCCTCTAGCCCATCCTGAACCCCGGCTGAATGAAATGGAAACATCAGCGTGTTGTGCTGAGAAACGCCGGATCTGGGATAGCAGTCGAGAGTCCCTGGTGGTTGGGGAAGGGGTAGAAATAAAGCGAAGATCGGACAGTCCCTTCGAAGAGAATGCTGCCATCTTGCTTCAGGCGCGGCGGCGCAGGCGTCCAGAAAGCTACTTCCGGCCTCACCCGGAAAGGCCGCAGCGGCGCCTGAAGTGAACCTGTTGGCTACCGCCGCAAAGGCGGTGTGGCGGCCGGAGTGCTGGGACAATCCCGCTCCGCAGTTAGGACGGAAGGTCGTGGTCCTGAAGTAACTGATCACTCCGGGAAGTCAGCGGTGCCTTAGTAACGATGGCTGAACTCACAGCTGTAATAGGTAAATGTGACCCCTCGGGGTCGCCGGCGGGCGCCATGACGGTGGTCCCGGCGCGGCGCCTCGGCAGTCTCCCACAGGCGGGAAACGAAGTTTCCCGCGCGAGCACGCGTTAGAACCCTAGGCCACCTGAGCTCGGTGCTTCAGAGCCCGCGAGGAGTTTGTTATCTTGCCTTGTATGTCGGCGAGGGGACCTGACCTGAACGACCCGGTGGGGGTGGGGTTACTTTAGGTACCGGCAGGCGAGGCTTACGTGGAAGACTTGAGGGCTCCGGTCTTATTTTTGCAAAAGACCTAACTTACTGAGAGCCGCCTCAGGGGTTGCCTTGATCGCCTCAGGAAAGGCGAGTGAACTGAATGTTCTTCCTCGCCTTTGGATTTCGTCCCTCCGTTCCCTCGCCGCACGAATGACCACATCCAGGAATAAATGAAGAAGAAGCGGTGGAGCCAAATGTATCCTTTTAAAAGTAATTTAAGGAGCGCCTGGGTGGCTCAGGTCATGATCTTGGGGTCCCGGGATCGAGCCCCACATGGGGCCCCCTGCTCAAGGGAAGCCTGCTTCTTCCTACCCCGCTCCAGTTCTCGCTCTCCAATAAATAGATAAAATCGTTTTGGTTTTTTTTTTAAGATTTTATTTATTTATTTGACAGAGCTCACAAGTAGGCAGAGAGGCAGACGTGGCGGGGGGGTGCTCCCCGCTGAGCAGAGAGCCGGATGCGGGCTAGATCCGAGGACCCTGGGATCATGACCTGAGCAGAAGGCAGAGGCTTTAACCCACTGAGCCACCCAGGCGCCCCCAGATAAAATCATTTAAAAAAAAAAATAAAAAGAAAATAAGTGATTTAAAACGGATTTTTTTTTCCACAAAGTTGGAAATTTTATTTTTTTATATTCTAGAAGTGACTTCTCCACTGAGTCAGCGGAAAACTGAGTTAAAGCGTCTAAGTGGACGGATCTCGTGGATAATGATACCTCACGTTCCTTTTTTTGTTACTAAGGCAGCCAGAAAATTACATACCGAAATTAGAAGCAATGTATTTCTTTGTCATTTGCTAGTAACTGATTTTTTAAAACTGGAGTTTCACCGTAATGACTCCCACTTTACCCACGGTCTTCTGTCTAACCTGGCCTGAATTCTCCAGACCTTTTCTAGCCAGCACTACTTCCATACCCGTCCTCCTTACACCTTGTGTTGCAGTCGGTGGTTAGCAGTGGTGAGCTGCTTCTAGTTGTCAACATACTTCTCTTGGATCAGGTGGGATAACACCACATGTAACCTAGATCACATCCTCAAGTGCACTAGCCTCCCTGTTATCTCCACCGGCCTTTCCTAGGGTTAACTCTTACTGAGACCAAATGTAGTATCATTGATTAATTGTCATCTCTCTAGCAGTTTTGGGATTTTGTTGCGGGGAGGGGTGTTTTTGTGTTTTGCTGGATTTGGATAATGTTTCAAGTAGGAGGAGTTTGGGAGCAGTGTGCACTGGCTTGTTTATGGAGGTCAACACAAACATGATGAATTAAAACTTTTCTCTAGAACAGCACTCTCTTACTGCAATGACAAATGTTCTGTGTCAGCTCTGAGCAGTATGGTAGCCACTAGCCATAGGTGGCCGTAGAGCAGTTGACATGGAGCTAGTATTATTAAAGAACAGCATTTTAAAACTTAATTCTAGGGACACCTGGGTGGCTCAGTCGCTTAAGTGTCTGCCTTCAACTCAGGTCATGATCCCAGGGTCCTGGGATCAAATCCCACATCAGGCGTCATGCTTAGTGAGGAGCTTCCTCCCACTGCCTGCTTTGGCTGCCGCTCTCCCTGCTTGTGCGTGCGCGTATGTGCGTACTCTCTCTCTCTCTCTCTCTCTCTCTCTGACAAACTTTTTTAAAAAGGTGACATTTCAACTCATCATAGAAAGTTTAAAAAAAAATTAACTCTAGTTTAAATAGCGACATATGGCTAATGAATGGAATCGTTAGTTCTCGAGCATGTCTTTCCTACATCTCTTCCAGGCACGTACTCAGCTTTCACATCTTTAATACAAAACAGATTTCTCTCCATTGTCATTTTCCTCCTTTCTACTCTCCCATTTACTTCCACAGTCTAGCTTCTGCTTCTGTCAGTTCACAGAAATTTCAGACATAAGGTCATCACCCATGCTCTGAATATCAGCAAATCACTGACATCTGATACTAGGTTATTTATTCTCTCTCACCATTCTTTAGCTTCTGAGTCACCCTTGTCCTGGGTTTCCCCTTCTCTAGCCTGTTGATTATTCCTTCATGTATTATGTCTATGAGTGTCTACTCTGCCAGGATTTTATGTAATGAAGAAAAAGACACTTGTTCCAGTTTGCATGTAGCTTATAGTCTGTGGTACTTGTTTTATAAATCAGTGACATTCAAACTAATGGGACCACAACCCAAAAATGTTTTACCTTGTAACCCAATATATGTGTATTTGTGTAAATATAACAAAAGTTTCAGGAAGAGATCTTTACTCAAATTTCCTGCAAAGCTTAAGCTTATTAAATTTTCTGTACTTTTTTTTTAATGATGGTGGAGACCTGTGCCACTGATTTCATGACCCACTCATGTTTGAAAACCTTACCCTACATGCCAGGACTTCTCAGGCTCTGATGCTAGCCTACAACCATCTCATGCATCATGCAGCCTGCTTTCTCTGAGATATTTTTTCTCTACCTTGAGTCAGATATTTAATACATACCAGCATCTGCTAATGAAACATAATAGTTTACTAATGGATAGTGACAGAAGACAGTGGTTGCCAAGGGGAGAAAAAGGAAGTAGTATAAACTGGAACAGAGAAATTTGTGGGTAGTCGATGTGTTCTCTATCTTGACTGTAGTGAGAACATGATTTGTATCTACATGTCAGGACTTTTCAAATTGCGCATTTTGCAGTGCAAATTACTAACCACTGTAGGAACACAGTGAACTACCAGGCACCTGCTCAAATTGTACATTTCAGTATGTGAGATTTTATGTCTATTATACTTCAATATACTATACTTCAAAGTTTTTTTTAAAAAATTTGGAAACTTGCTCTGCGAAATATATAATGTAAAATTTGCTAATAAATGTTAATTAAAGGGGCAGCCTATATTACTAAAATCCCTGAATTATTTCTACTCTTGTTAAATCTGCTGAGTTTTTGAGAAATAAATTATTTTCCCCTTAGCTTGTCATCTCATTGAACAATAAAAACACCAAACATATGTTGTGTTAACCCTCTACCAGGTACTATTGAGTGGGTTTATTTCTGTCATTGTTCCTCACAACAACTAACTGAAGTATATTGTACCTCCATGTTTTAATTGAGGAAATATAAAGACTAAAGGTTATGGGACGCCTGGGTGGCTCAGTTGGTTAAGCGGCTGCCTTCGGCTCAGGTCATGGTCCCAGCGTCCTGGGATCGAGTCCCGCATCGGGCTCCTTGCTCAGCAGGGAACCTGCTTCTCCCTCTGCCTCTGCCTGCCTCTCGGCCTACTTGTGATCTCTCTCTCTCTCTCTCTCTGACAAATAAAATCTTAAAAAAAAAAAAAAAAGAGAGACTAAAGGTTAAATAACTTGCCCAAGATCATACTGCTGGTAAGTGATGGCACTAGTCTTTGAACTAAGACAGTCCAGGCCCTTAGTCACAATGATAAATTGCCTCAAGCTTTATACAGAAAAGTATTTAATATTACTTATAATGTTTTTAGTAATACATCATATTTTAGGTTTAACGGTACCTACTTAAATTTTAAATGCCTCAAAATCTGAAGGGAACTGAAATCAAAACATTTTCTAAAGATACTACAGGTTTGCGTGTCATACTAGCAGTGTTTTACACTTATGCTCCTAAAGTGCCTTTAAAGTGATTTCAATCATAAAACCTGATTTTATCCTTATCATGTATTTTACTTCAATTTTCCCCCAGAAGTTATGCCTCATAATTTTAAGCTCATTTTCCAAATCTTATTTTGTGAACCAATGATTCTTACATGTGAGTTTTGAATATAATTTTTATCTTACATAACATTTTTAAATTTATTTAAATTCAATTTAACATGCACTGTATTAATACCTTCAGGAGTATAATTTAATAATTCATCAGTTGCATAGAACACCCAGTGCTCATTACATCAAGTGTCTTCCTTAATGCCCATCATCCAGTTATCCCTTCCCCCTGCCCACCACCCTCCAGCAAACCTGTTTCCTAGAGTTCAGCATCTCTTATGGTTTGCCTCCCTCTTTTCATCTTACTTTTCCTTCTCTTCCCCTATGTTCACCTGTTTTGTTTCTTAAATTTCACATATGAGTGGAATCATATGCTATTTGTCTTTCTCAGACTGACTTATTTCGCTTGGCTTAATACCATCCATGTTGTTGCAGATGGCAGGATTTCATTCCTTTTTGATGGCTAAGTAATATTCCATCATGTATATAGACCACATCTTTAT